ATATAAACTGTACATATAACTTAAAATTCTTTGGAAGAGCTTGTTGCACTATTATAGAAATGGTTCCCATATTCTTTTAGAATTTCAGAGTATTACCATATAGATTTAGTTTTTAAATGATTAAACTTATTTTGTATTTTACTGTTGCAAAATATTTCAAAAATATCAGGAAAAGAAAAGCATAGAAAATTATATAAAAAAGAAATTATACTAATACTTAACACCTCACATTTCTTACATTGTTAAAGCTTAGTAGCTTGGATTATTTTCTTCATATCTCTAAGTAAAAAAGTACTACACAGTAAAAGTCCCTTTAGGATCCTCTCATGTGACACACAGGGTAAAAGCACAGCACTATGAAGCTGTTATTGTTGTAGCCACTGCAGCACATGTTCAATCCCTGGCCAGGGAAGTGACCCATATGGCGCAGCAGACCTCTCCTGTCTTTCTTGCCTGCTGCTCCCCTCAGCTGTGTATTTCAGTTGATCTGTCTGTTCTTACCCCCACTCTGTCTCTGGTGAATCCCCTCACCCCTCACCCCTTTGACCTGTACCCCAGTTCTTGTATACATAAGTAAATAAATTTTTTTAAAAGTCCCTTTAGTACCTCTCAAATTATTCCCTTTTCTCATCAACTCAGAAATAATCAATGTCTTAAAGTTAATGAATGCTTTTTATATTATTGTATTTTAATAGCATCGATGTGTGCATTTGAATGTTTGATGAATCCATAAGCATTTTAAATATAATGTGTTTTTAAATGTAAGATTGCAACTTGCTTTTCTATATTCAATAAGAATATTTTAATTTCAAGATCTGCCCATTTCCTACAAATAGGCAAGGCTCATTGAGTTTATTCATTTGACACATTCCTGTGTAAAGAGCCCATGATTTATCTTTTCTTCTACTAATGATCCCTGGTTTCCAGTTTTTTTCCTATCACACCCAATACGTTAATGGAACCTTCTAGATTTATCAGCTTATTGGAATATAATATGGAATAATAGGTAATAGTAGTCATTGAAATTTAAGATTTGCTAAGTAAATCTTAAACAGCTAAGTAAATCTTAGCTGTTTTCATATTAAAAAATGGTAGCCTTGAAATGATGTGTGTTTCAATTAACTTTGTTGTAATAATAATGTCAATACAGACACATCTTAAAAATCATGCTGTACAACCTAAACGATTATCATTTTTGCTGTCAATTATATTACCACAAGTATTTAGGGAAAATAGCTATGAATTTAATTTCTCCAAATAGAATTTTCA